TTCAACAAGCAGTGCTTGGTGAAGCACGACTTGCGCTCAAGCTAACTGAAAACAAACAATTCCCAAACGCGCCACGCTCCCAACACAGAAAAAAAACCGGGTCCGTGCTTTTGCCGCCCTCATCTCTGCCCAGCGGCGCGGGCACGAGTGCCGTCAGCTGCTTTCGCAATGCTTGGATCTCAGCACCTCTGATCTTGAACAGCGACGGATGATCATCTGAGAGGAAGGCCTTTACGGAACTAGGATAGGCACAGAGCCTTTACGTCGTTCCTGTTACTCACATGGGCTCAGGAACTAGGATAGGCATAGGCCCAACGTGGCCCAACGGAACCTTTAGCTCTGAGGCCTCGAACCCTCGGATGATTGGCCGAAGTCGGGTCTAGTTGAAACCTGCCCGGTTGACGTGCTTCCCAAAAAAGACCCACCCTCCCATGCCCCGGCCCAACAGCCACCCTCCCCTCCACCGCCGTGAGACACCGCAGGGTAGACGCCACTCGGACTGAGCTTACCGGACGGACTTGGTCCGGCTGCAACTCCAGGGCTCCTGAAACCTCGACCGGCACCGCCGGACAGTCGCGCGGCAGCGTGGCCGCCAGCTGGGCGGCCAGCTCCGCCTCGTCGCGCGGCGCGGGGTACGGCGGAGCTCCCGTGGAAGTTCTGGCAGAGACGCGAGTGCGAGGTGGAGGGAACAGCCGAGGAACCGCCGAGGGAACAGCCCTGTGACAAGATGAGGCTGGGGGTCAGTGGTTCTGGTCGTATGTCGTATGCTGATTCGGGTGCGACTCGGGTGCGGGATTCAGGCGAATTGATCTCGGTCAGCCGGTCGCTTCAGCCGGGGAGATGGGAATCAAGCTCGGTTCCAGGATGAAGTTGATGTCTGTTTATTTAGTAAATCACCCAGACGCTCCGTTCACAGCCCGACTGGTCCCTCAAAACCGGATTTGAGACCCCAGACCCCTCCATAGGATTCGGGTCCGACCCCTGCATAGGTTCGGGTCCAGGGTCGCATCTGGGCAAGCAAGAAACCGTGCTGGTTCTCCAGCCCCGGGCTTCACCAGGGAAAGTGGATACACACGTTCACTAGCGCCTTTATAGCATCCGCAGGGCTTCGATGAGATTTCGTACAGTAAGCGTGTTCGAAGATGGCCACGACCTTTTCGTTCAAAAGCGGGGTTCAATCTCCGTCTCACGGGAAACCACACGGGTTTGGCGTCTCACGACAGGCATTCTTCGTCACAGGACATAGGATAGTACGAGGTATAGACGGACTAACCTTCCCAAAGTGGTGTGACATGTGTGACGGTGTTTTCTGCCTGCCCAGACGCTCCGTGAACGACGCCCGACTGGTCCTTCAAAACCGGGATTGGTTCGGGTCCAGACCCCTCCATAGGATTCGGGTCCGACCCCTGCATAGGTTCGGGTCCAGGGTCGCGTCTGCCTGCCTTAAAAAAGCACACGATATCCCAAATACCCCCAGTCTCCACCGGCTGAAACCATGGCAGTCGCCACCTGTTGGAGGACTGAAACCCCCCCTTCAGTTTGGTGTTCGGATTTTCATGGTCTTCCTGGATGTTCATGGCCATGCCAGCATGTGACAGCATGTGATGAGCATGTGATCTGCAAGGAGTGTAGGTGCTTCAGCATACTTCAACCTTCAATTCATCCATGTTGGACCCTCGTGGATCCACTTGGGACTCGGAACAGCCTGGAGCTCTCAGCCACTAGCGCCGGCGCCATATTGGAACAACCATTGATGGGTTTCCAGGAACAACCACAGGTGGATTGGATTGGATTCCATCATTATACAATAAATTGTTATTGTCGTTCCACTTCGTATAGGTGGTTCCATATGGTTGGGATTGGTTTTCCAGGAACCTCATCTCCACGAAGAGGCCCTTGCGTTCCACGAACGACGCCCGCCAAAACGCGCGTCGTTAGAAGGGGACCCGACCAAGCCGGTGGGGTCGGTGGGCAACTGTGGCCACCTGGGACGGGCGCTGAAGGCGGGGTGGAGACTTCCAGCAACCTGCTTCGTGACCCTCAAAACGAGTCCGACAGACCCGCCATGACCGGAGTTGACGGTCGGTGTCGTACCAGTGGCAGTCACGTCGTAGCGAATGCAGTGGGGGGTTCGGGTCATGGCAGTCACGTCCCATGTTCAAACGAAGACTTGTCCAGCTCCAATGTGCATGTCGATCTTGGCTGATTTGATCGAGAACAAAAGGCACAGACTTGATGGAACCCTACCAGCACCCTCCAACAGGTCACCACCTGACATTTTTAAGTCTCCAAAAGCCTCCAGAGGAGACCTGTTGGAGGGTGCTGGTAGGGATCCAAGTACCTTCTCAGCAGGTGATTGGAGACACCGTCCAGTCGTACCTTCTGAGGTTCGGTACGACTGGATCCCTAGGGGAAGGGTGTGGAAGATCCGGGTGTGGACATGCAATTCAGAGCAGCTGAATCCGTCGGACACTTTTGTTTCAATCTCGTGGCTCGGTTGATTGAAAGTCGTGTCGCTCCTAGTTCCAGTCCAGCAATCCACCGGGTCAGTGTCCTGTCTGTGACCTGTGCTCGGGTCTCCATCCAAGGGCCGAGGGCCAATGGGTCTTGGAACACAAAACTCCTCGAACCACATCCGCTGGGAGTCGTGGGTCTGGGAAACATCGCTTAAGGTCGTTCCGCTTGGTCGTTTGCTCCTCCTCGCTCAATGTCGTGGGTTCTGCAGAATCGGTGTTTTTCCAATGTCTTTAATCTTTCCAATTTGGTTCTTCTCATATATGCTCCAGAGTGTTTTCTCTCAGGGCATGCTCTGGAGAGTCTGCCCAAAAAAACATGGTGAGTCATGAAGTCTGCTCCATATCCACACTGACTACGCGAGTCTCATTATCCACACAATCAAGTTCGCACATATCATCACATCGCTCAGAGTGGACCCGAACTCCTAAAGACACTGACAAAAGGATCAAGTGCCAGGCACGTGACGTGATGATTAACGTGTCGTTGATGTGCCCCCCTGCACTGAACATGTCCTCCATCCTGACCAGCATTTGCTGGCAGACCAGCCAAAAACATCTCACTGCGATGCTGGTCATGCGTCGAACTGATGAAAAGGCAGCTTCTTCACAGCCCCAAAAGCCCTCAAAAGGACCTCCAAATGATAAACGTCAGAAATCTCCGGCACCCCGCTCTTCTTGCACACAAAGAGGCCCCAAATGCCCAGTTGCCAAGACCTCAATCGAGGCCGATGGCAGATGAAGTTTACCCCCTGCGATGGATGGTTGTAAAATATAGAGGGTCCAATAACGTTTATGGCAGCATCTGCTTTCTGGTGAGTGTTTCAGAAAAAAGGACTGTACAATCTACAAGCCCAGTGTAGACATGATTCTGTGCAACTGGGCGAACCAAGAAACTCAGGCGAGTTCAAAAAGCCGCCCAACCAAGCCCAGCAAGGGCTCCTGCTTTTTCAAGACCGGTCGCAGTGCTTCCGTGGTGCTTTCTGGTCCAACCACTTCGTTCTCTCCGCCCGAGATTGCATGTTCATGTGACCGTTTTCCACCTCTTCAAACAAGTGAAACGAAGCATGGCGGCAGAGCTTCTGTCCGACTTTCACCGTTTTCCCCCTTCGGTTTTCCCTGCAGGTGATCCACGTAACCCCGATCAGCTACAGTGTCTGATTCTCACGGCGCGAAAAGAAGGATTCACAAAAAGACACATACACCACCGCCACCACCGCCACCACCGCCGCCACCGCCACCACCGCCACAACAACAACAACTAAGGGTGACCTGCAGGTCACTCTGCAGGTCCAAAAGCGCGGCCAGGTCAGCCAGCTCTCAAAACCCTCTTCCTTCCGAACCCGAGAGGCTTCTTGGAGTCGATCCCGCAAGAGCATGAGTCCAAACATCTCGGACTCCGCATAGACCGCCTTGGCAGGCGGAAGAAGCCACGACCCGACGTCTCCACCGACCGAACGGTCGAGACCGACCGGAGAGACGGTCGTAATGCCAGGAGCTTCTTCCAGGGGCCCGAAAACCAAACCATGAAAAACCAAGGTTTTTGATGGGCCATGTGGGGCCCCTGGTTGCTACTAGTAGTAATGGCCTCCAACCTACTAGCAATGGCCTCCAACCTAACAGCAATCGTTCTGGAGTTCTGGATAAGATGGAAGAGTTTTGGGGAAAGGGCAATCTTGTGTGTGTGAAGACCGGGCGGGTGGTGCAAGCTAGCACACGTGTCGATCAAGAGTACTGAGGACGTCGTGTCACGAAGCCTTTGACCCCCCTAGTGTCGCGCCTCGAAGCAGCACGCCTACAGCGCCTTGAATCCCGAAGCCCGTGCTGCCTCGGAGCGATCGTGCTGCCGCCTCGGCCCCCGCGCATGGTCGCTGTCTTCTTCGAAGCCGTAAATCCACTGCAAGGCCTCGCTGGGTCCGACCCGGGCGGTCGGTCCAAAAGCACCCAACAACACACCCCTCGTGTGTCGACGGTCCGTGACTGGGACTGCCAGTCCGGACTGCCGAGAGTTCCGGCCAGGGGTGGTTGGGTGGTTGGTTTTGGGGGTCAATGGGGCATCATCTATGGCAGTCCCGGACTCATTGTGTGGGACACCACAACCCGAACAATTCTGGTTTTTTCCATGCCCAGACACTCCACGGGACTGCCATATATATGCTAACAAAATTGACCCCCAAGACCACCACCCCTGGCCGGAACTCGGACTGGCAGTCCGGACTGGCAGTCCCAGACTCGTCGCGTCGTGGGTTTCCCGTTCCGACCCTCGAGGCTACCGTCCGAACAGGGTCCGTTCCATACAGTTCCGTCCACCGAAATGGAAATACTGGACCGCGGGTCCGTGGGTCATACCAAAGACCGCGGATACTATCCGGATGTAAAAGACCAGGGTTTTACTATGTTTTACTGGCTCGGACTGGACTTGTAGGGGATCCTTTTCCAACAGAGATCTATACTTACAAAAGTCCTTTTTTTTTTTTGCTTTTGGGACTTTGGTTGCTCACTGTGCCACACTGTGCCAGCATGAGCCGATGACTGTGCCATCTCCCGTATGTTCTTGTCGTCTGTCCTTTTTGGCCGCTCAAAGCAGCTCCCGACGTCCGTGTCTTTTACACTTCCAGGGAGGTGAAACCGCGTTTCCTTCAGCGCTGGTCCTTCCACCATTCGGCGTGTGCTCGATCTGCCCACGGCTCCTGGACAAAGATGGGCCGCGGTGATTCTTTCCTGGGCCGAGCCAGCGATGGAGAGGCGTTTTTTGATCGATGGAGGACTCACCTTCAGTTCGGAAAGCCTCAAACTCACATGGACCCCCTGGAAGAGTGTCTTCCTCTACCAACCAGTGGGTTTTTCAGGTTCCATGATGTTCCATGTTAGTCTTTTGTAGGGGGGTCATGTATACCAGTGGACTGGGCTTCGGGTCATGGCTACGAGTCGTTCAACTCGGTCGACTCACCAAGTGCCCGGGCAACGCAGCCGTCTACCGACGTCGGCGCGAGCTCCCTCGTCGACCGTTGATTTTGCTGGCGATGGTGGAAGCTTGGTGAAAGCACTTCATCTTCAACCACCCTCAACACAAAACCAACGATTTACCCTTGGGAGCGCAGTGAAAAGGGTGTGTATGATCACCCTTGCCATATCTTGCCACTGTTTCGGTCTGCATTTCGCCAAGCTGCACTAAAAATCGCCCCTGCTTCACTGCGCAGAAGGCTTCCCGTGGTGTCCCGAGCCCCGTGGTGTTGGGCTTGGGACGTAGCTCGGGGTAGCCAGGGGAATAGGGCAAGCGGATTTCACTCACCCAATACTCCCCGATGGTGTCCACCACGGGCTTGAGCCTGGAAAAGAAGATCGGCAGACGGCATTGGGTCGACTGAGACGGGTGAGGATCATGGGTTTCTGCGTGACCCAAGTAGTGATGGGAGGACGAACATGTCCGGGGAGATGTTCAAGCAACATCTGAGTTCCTTGAGCGTGTGAATCCAAAAGAAACATGCTAAATAACATCAAATAGCTGTGCCTTAACACACACACACAAAGCTCAGACTATCGCTCCATCACAACATATTAAATGGCAAACACGGGAATGAATGGCATAGGCCACTTGAATATCCAAGACGTGGTTGGTGGCATTCTTCTTTTTCTTCTTGTGCCCTTTCTGCACAGCGACATACAATCTCATTTCGTGGTTTCAAGACTGAACGGTTTATCAAACATGAAGAGTCAGAAACAAAAGGATACGAACAGCAGGAATAGGGTCGAGTGGATGATGTGAACACATTGATGATGGGGCCAACTCACTGCAGCTTGTCACGGTACGTACGGTGGCCGTGTACGAGCGTCCCCCTGGAGCTAGTGGTCTAGTGGTCGCTTCGCTGTGTCAGGCGCCACCGGCTGCGTGCAAGGCACTTGGTGTCTCTGGTCTTCAAAGTGGTATTGCAGCGTGTATCTCTGGGAGTCAGATGCAAAGGCGCATGTTGATTGGGAGGCCAAGCATCGCGCTCCAACATCAAGCCGTGAAGTTCCGCCTGGAGCGAGGCCGACGGCGGGGGCCGCGGGCGTAAGGTCGTGAGGCGCAGAGGAAGAAGCGAACCCCAGTGGTTCCAGGCAACGACTAACACCAGTTGGGACCGAACCAATCCCTAAGGTTCCTGAAACTTAGGTCATGGTTTGCCTAGGATGCACTGGGTTGCTTAAGGTCGCTTGGTCTTCCACATGTCTTCACCATCTTCGCTGCTCCCAGTCGTCACAGTCGTCACGAACGAAGCTGAGCCACTTGCTGCCCAGTGCCTACCCCTCCGGCCTCGCGCCGCAGCACTCGCTGCTTCTCGGTCTCATAATGGACTCCAAACTCGCGCGATGAGATCTGCCTCGACACAAGTGACTTCCGCGTTTTTTTCGAGTCGAGAATCCCCATGACAGTTGACCACCGAATGGACCAACACAAAGCATCTTACAAGCACCTGGACCACCCAATGGTACATCATGTTAATGAATGAAATCCATTTTACTCCATGCAAAAGAACACCTGCGACTCCCAGCTCCATCTCTCCCAGCCATCGCCCAGCTTTCGCCCGAGCTTGCGCCCAGCGCCTCTCTTTCGTCTTGTCCCGCTCACGAAAGCGATGCCCGTTCACATTCGCTGGAGCCGTCTTAGGTCGTGAGGGCGGCCGATACATGGGCGCTTTTTTTCCGCCGGGAGAACGGACAGACGGCGGTGTGATGCGGTGTGGGACGGAAGCACTTAGCTCGCTAGTTTTGGACCCGCCCTAGAAGCCCAACTAAGTCCAGTTCGATCTAGATTTTGACCGGCTGAAGTAAAGGAAGTTCCGTTTCAGGTCCCCTAAAGACAATTATCAATTCTTTTCATAGTCTTTGACTCCCAGGGAAGTGCAGCTTCGACCTGGACTTTCCTGGGCTGGTCACTCTATCTTGTATATACGGACATTCTCCAGACGGGTCATCCAGTCAGACCTCGTCTCTTGGACTCCAGGTTTTGAGGTTTCTGTGGTTCAGAAATCCAGGGTGGATGTGTCAGTGGCTGAAGACCACTTTCTGCTTCAAAACGAAGAAGCAACTGCCACAGGTCGTTGTGTTCTGTCACTGCCTTTGCTACAACTCCTTGCCAAGTGAGACTGCATCCATTTCAGCTAACTATGACTATGAGGCACTAGATAGATACCTCTTCGCGGGTTCCTTGCTTGCGTGCCTATGGACTGGAACAGCTGGCGTGGGAGAATCCTCATCTCCGCTCGAACCACCGCGCCGTTGAGCGGAGCCACGCAGTGGTGCCCTCCGTTGAGCCCCACAAGGCGCGACGACGACCGGGCGAGATCGGTGAGAGACTCGAGGCCCTCCAGAATCCCAGACACGACGAGTCTGGGAGCTGCCAGTCCGGACTGCCACCCCACACAGAGCCCCCCAAGACCACCACCACCACCCCCTGGTCCTATAACTCTCGGCAACTCTATGCCAGTCGCATGGTGTGTCTGGGAATGAAGATGCGCGTCGGACCCCTTTTCCCCGCGGATTCGGGGCCGGTTGTGGGTCGCGTCTGGCTGGGCAAGAGGTCGGGCGCCAAGATGCGCCAAGTGTGGGAGCGCATGGATCTGGGAGCGCATGGTGGGAGTGGGTGGGCATCCCCCAAAAAAGGTTGGAGCGAATCATCATCAAATCACCTTCCCATCCAGCAAAAACAGCCCAACTCGCTCTACATGGGCATCCGTGCTCTATAGTTAAGCATAATGCAAACTCTTGATGAATAACCCCCACCATTGTAAAGCCTCTTCAACTGGGGGGTTGAAATATCATCAAAAGTCTAACTGGACCTTCGAGGGGTGTCCCCTGGAGGTCCCTTATAGTAGTGTAGCGGCTTCCATTCGTGACCCCGAACTGAAGGTGCTGGTAGGTACATCAAAAATCAGCGAAGCATCAAATTCGTTTCAGCAAAGTGAATCCCTTTGAGCCAAACGGACTCTGTGGCACCTTTCCACCGGACGTCTGCGGTCGCCTCTGCGATTGGATCCGGTCAGACCGGAGAACGCATCAGACCGGCTTTCCGGTCTTCCGCTTCCCGACTGCTTCGCCGGAGCCTTTGTGGAACATGAGGGTGAACCAGCCTGTTCTTGTTGAGTGGGGGTGGAACACTGGAACACTCTCCCCAAGAGGTGACCTGCAAGTGATCATGTATGGCATCTATGCTCCAGTCGCTGAATCCAAACCCTTGTCCCGCCTGGCAACGTTCTGCCAGATTGGCACGAGCTGTCGAAAGTCGGTGCCTGGCACGCTCTGTTCGAGGAAACAGGCCGGGACTGTTCACCTATCCGAAAAAAGGTAAGGGACTAGGCAAAGCACTTTCTATTTCTCGTGCAACTGATTGGGCGGCAAAAGTGCGGTAAACTTCCAAGACATTCGACCCTATAGTTATCCTTGTGTAACTCTTCACAGGACGACTCATGAAAAGACTCTCTTCACTCACACATAATCGCTGATGCTATTAGGTTGGAGGCCATTGCTCCCACAGTTTCTAGGTTGGCCGCCCCATGTCAGCTCCTGCCTCCTCGCAGTCTTTAAGCCCAGGGGCAGTCGCAGAAGCTGCGCCGAGGTGAAGTCCGGCCTTGCAGCGGCCGCGTCGCCGCCGCGTCACCATGGTTCGTGCAAAAGGATCTGACATGGTCTCTCTGAGAGAACGTGATGATGATACATGATTGATATATATGCTAGATGATAGATGATAGATGGATGATGATGATAGATGATGCATTTCGTCAATGCTCAGCTTTTGTTGGGCTGAGAGAGGGGGATGCTTTGGACGGACATCTCCGAAGAACGCCACCGCGCTGGCACCCGTCTCAGTCACACACATCTGCCATGGCAGTCGTAGGATGCATGGTGCGAGACGCTGCCTGAAACGGCATGGCCGACTGCGGAGGTGAGCTGTCTCGAGGTGAGCTGACAAGTTGAGGAACAGGATGTGAAGCAAGGTAGCATAAGTACGCATTGAATTGCATCAATCATGGCCTAGGAGGTGAGCTTTGCTCCTCACTTAGCATATAAGCTTAGCATTGCTCTACATAGCATAGTACAAAGAAGGATGTATTGCTCTACGTCGCGCCCAAAATCGAATTGAATCTGTCATATTATATCCACATCATCAATCAATCAAGCAATCAATCAATCAATCCCTCCCTCCCTCCATCCATCCAGCCATCCATCAAATCAATCATCGTTCGTCTTTTGCGCCATTCTTTCGCTGTTTGTACCTAGATTTGCAACTGTGCCAAATGTCCGTCTTTTGGCTGGTTTTATAGATGGAAAAGCATCAATATGACACCCGTTGGAAGATCCAGGTATGTGTCCCTTGACGCTCGTCGGACAAAGGACGTCGTCCAGTTCCGGACGTTTCGTGCGTCGGAACGTCAGCCTCGAACGACGTCGCAGGGGGGCAACGTTGGTCATGTGAAGGACTGACGCCCAGGTCCGAGATGGGCAAATGTGCATATCACGTGTCGGATGGTCACACCCGAGCCACGCCGATACGGACCTGCAGCCGGGGACTCCGACCTCTTCTCAAACGCAGCTCCAACGAAGTGGCTCTGTATGGCCAGAACCTCGGCCCAGCGCCAGGTCAGTGTGTTCCATCCAGTCGGTGGAACGCCGGAAGTTGTTTCTTCGAAAGGAAACAGAGAGAAGACCAGCCCAGGCAGTTCAGCACAAGATTCAACTTTGAAATTCAGGAACATAACCTCATTTTACTGGAGATGGTCATGCAAAACCAATACTTAAGGAGGTAGAAGGTCAGGTTTTACTGGGTCTTTGGACTTGTAGGGATTACATTGTTATATCGTTGTTATACACTGTATCTGCCCTGGCCGTCCTCAGTAGTGAAAAAACCCTCTGAGATTCCTCAAGGGTTTTTTGGCCAAACGTCGTTTTTTGGTCCGACGTTTTTTTTGACTTCCGATACCTGGTGCAACCGAGGTTCTTTTGCGTCCGATGTTTTTTTGCACCGGGATGAGTGGCTCTTTAGCTAGTGTAGCTGTGGATGTGCTAAAACATGAATTGACACGGTGTTTCTCGGCCAAGTGGAGTGGTACAAATCGAGTGTGGACAAACCATGGACAAACCGTGGAACAGGAGTTGTTTTGCGTGGACAGGGACCTCCGAAAACTCGCCAAAGGTGGGAAAACGCTGACGCTGCCCCATGTTCGATCGGGTGGATTCGGGATGAGCAGGGGATCCGATGTTTTTTGGGAGCGCTCGGATGTTTTTTTTGCATGACCAACCAATGATCTAACGGATATATTTGGGAGTTGATCTAAATTCCTTTATCCGGGATCCGTCATTTTCGCCAAAAAAACTACTTTAGCCAAACTTTCGCCTTCCTGCGTTCTATTTTTCGCCGAAGTACGTTGTATTTATGTGTGCCATGTATGTTGTGTTTTGTTCACGTCAGTGGCTTCTTCTTTACTTGCTAACACAAAATAGAAACTTCACTGTTTGTCAGCATGTGTCTTCTACTTAACTGTTGACACCCTGTACGTCTCTTTTGTTTCTCCTGGGTGTCAGCAAGAATCAAAATTGCAAGAATCACTGTGGTCACTCAAACTTACTCATAATGGTCTGGGGGTCAGATGTGGCAGGGTGAACTTTCGCCAATCTTGAGCTGAACTTTCGCCAAATCTTCGCCTTTTGCGGGGTAGAGCTTTGTGGCAAAGCCACCCCCCCAAAGGAGGAGCAGGAATAGTAGTAGTAGTAGTAGTAGTAGTAGTAGGTGTAAGTGGTAGTAGTAGTAGTAGTAGTAGGTAGTAGGTAGTAGGTAGTAGTAGGTAGTAGTAGGTAGTAGTAGTAGTAGTAGTAGTAGCAGTAGCAGTAGCAGTAGCAGTAGCAGTAGCAGTAGTGGTAGTAGTAGTAGTAGCAGCAGAAGTAGTTAGTAGTAGTTAGTTTTTATTATTATTAGTAGTAGTCGTAGTCGTAGTCGTAGTCGTAGTGGTAGTGGTGGTAGTAGTAGTAGTAGTAGTAGGAGTAGTAGTAGTAGTAGTAGGTAGTAGGTAGTAGGTAGTAGGTAGTAGGTAGTAGGTAGTAGGTAGTAGGTAGTAGGTAGTAGTTAGTAGTTAGTAGTTAGTAGTTAGTAGTAAGTCGTAAGT